TTCAAAAAAAAATTTGATTGTAAAGGTTTTTGAGTTAAGCTAATATGTATATTTTAAAGGTACCTTGACTTCAAAATTTGGATCTAAGGATATGTTGCTTTGAAAAGGAGGCTCTGCTTTTGTTTCCACAGAAAGCCAGAGGCTATGGATTTGTTCCGGATTAAGATATATCAGGTTTGACCAGCCAAGACCCCCTGAAAGGTCTCCAGTGACACCATGGCCCAGATGATCCAACATCCAGAATGGTTTCAAGGCACTGGCTGAGACAATACAGTCTCATAGACTACTCCATAATCCTCAGATTTTCTTTGTGTCCCCATAAGATACAGTGCCCCCCTCTAGCAAGAAGTAGTAAGAGAAGCTATGCCCAAATTCCCAACTATACCAAGCTGGCTTTGGATATGGAATTGGCTCACTCCTTCTCTAAACCCAAGCATATTCAAAAAAAAAAGGGGGGGGTGAGAGATTCTTGTGTCCCAAATCAGAAGAGCCCTCTGGTGTGGGACAGAGAAAAACCAATATTTTGATTTAAAACAGGTTGGTTATAAATGCATTCTCTTTCTAAAGAAAAAAAAGGGGATATGATATAGATATGATAAGATGAAAGGGTAGATTAATAAACCTACTTTTAAAGAGCAACAACTTATTTGAAATGTTTTACATTGGTATAGATTTTAGTTTATTGATACAAATTTAAAGCTAATTTTGTTATACTGTGTGTATATTTCTACTCTTGTTTAAGGTATTATGTTTGTACCACTCATTTAAAATTGAAATGGATAATTAAGAAACAGACAATAATTAGTCATCTATGATAATCATACTTGTAGCCATGTTAGTTAAGTTTTCTAGGTATACATAGAGATATTTCAGATAGATAGGTAATCTTCAAACACTTCAAAGACCTACAGAATGTGGCATTTAAAAATGTTTTAAAAATTTAGACTTTCTGGATGGTGAGACATGTCTGCTCCTGGCAGCACCAATTTACTTCAGAGAGGAGGATGGGCATCGAAGACATTCCATATGGAGTTTATCTTCTTCTTGACAAAAATAGCCATTTGGACAAGAAACTGTTCTTGCCTGGACTGCTTGAAAAAATGTATTGACTGGACATGCAGGACCCATAGGAATGTGACCACTGAATTTCACTTGGCAAAATGGTCCTTAGGTTCCTGTTTCCCAGAGGAAACTGCCAGACATTCTACAGGACACAGAGAAGTGACTGAGAGACTCTAGGCCTGTGGACTGAAGACAGATGCCCCAACTTTACAAAAGAACTTTGGATAACTGTCCAGGCTGCCAACTGTCTCTGTCTACTCTTGCAAGACTCTTGAAAGTTGTTTGTGTCCTTCTCCTATTTCTAAGGTAATATTATATCCTTCTGAGGTCTTTGATGTAGTTGAAGACTAGATAGTCATAATTTCCTTAGTTATGATAAGAGATAAGTTAGATATGAAACCTTGGACTCACAAATATAAGATAGATAGGATGTCTTCTTTAATTTTGCCAAATACAAATAGACTAGATATTGTAACTATAATTCTTGCTAGATAACTGTTTTGTTATATGTAATTTTACTATGTTAAAGTTAAAATCTTCCTTTAAAAAAAAAACAGAAAAGGGGAAGTACTGTGGGATATCCTGTATGTTGTGAATATATATTGCTATGATTGATTGACAAATAAAACACTAATTGGCCAATAGCCAGACAGAAAGTATAGGATAGGTGGGACAAACAGAGAAGAGAGGCTGGGAGGTGGAAGCCGCGGGGAAACACCAGCCTGCTGTCCAGGGAGCAACATGTAAAGGCAACAGGTAAAGCCATGGAACATGTGGCGACATATAGATTAACAGAAATGGGCTGAGTTTAAATGTAAGAGCTAATCAGTGGTAGGCCTGAGCTAATGGCCCAGCAGTTTAATTAATGTAAGTTTCTGAGTGATTATTTTATAAGTGGTTGTGGGTTCTGTGGTGCTGGGCAGGACTGAAGAAAACTCCAGCTACACAGCAGGACTCTTACTCATTCTACTTGGAGTAGATTCTGTGTACCTATGCAGAGTTCTGTACCCAGATTCTGTGCCCCTACAGTTTAGAACACTGGAAGCGCCTCTCTCCACCTTTCTCTTCTAGCTCTACCCTCTCTCCTCTAGGTCTTTGCCCTCTATCCTTTCTTTCTCTCCTCTCCCCCCCACACTTACCTCTATCATCTCTTTCTCTCCTTCATCTCCCTCCCTCTTTTCCCTCATCTCTCTCACTTCTCTCCATCATCTCTCTCATAACTGTCTATCCCTCCCCCTCTCATCTGTCTCTATCTCCCTGGTGTCTCTCCTCTCTACTTTCTCCCCCTCTGTCTCACCTCTCTCAACATGCCCCCTGACCCCTCGTTAGTCTCTCCTCTTTCCTCTCTCACTCATCTCCATCTGTCTCATCTCTCTTGTCTCTTTGCCCCCTTCTTCTTCTTCCTAACTCCTCTCTTCTCTTTCTTGACTTCATCTCTCATACCTGTTTCCTCTCTTTCTCTCCTTGTCTCTTCTCTGTCTCATTTGTCTCCCTCCCCTTCTCTCTTTCCCCTCTCCTCCATCTCATCTCTCTCACTCCTCTCTGTTATAGAATATTCCTTTACACTGTGTGAAGATGTGTCACTGTGATTGGTTTAATAAAGAGCTGAATGGCCATTAACTAGGCAGAGAGAGGTTAGGTGGGACTTCTGGGGACAGAGCACATGGGGGAGAAGAAAGGAGGAGTCACCAGTGGAGGCAGAGTGAGAAGACATGCAGGAGAAGAAGTAAAAGCCATGAGTCATGTGGCAACATGTAGATGACAAGAAATGGATTATTTTAAGTTATAAGAGCTAATAGGACAGGCCTCAGATATAGATAGAGCTTTCATAACTAATAATAAGTCTCTGTCATTTCTTGTGAGCTGGTGGCCCAAAGAAAAATCCATTTACACCTCTCTCCCCACCTCCTGCCTCTATCCCACACTCCCACATCACTCTCCTCTCATCATTCCCTGTCTGTGTTCCCTCTCTCTTTTTCTCTCTCCTCTGTGACCTTCTTCATACTCATGTTCTCTCTTTCTTTCTCATTATTGCTGCTGTACCATAACATCTATTTGCATTGTGTATTTGTGTATCACGAGGAACTGCACTATTCTAAAAACATGGGACCTGCTGTTCTACTTCAGGTATTTGCAGACCTGTACAAGTATATCCTCCTGCTATGTTGCTAATGCACGTTAGAGAGAGGGGGAGAGAGATAGTGGCAAATGAAGGAGAGAGGAGAGATAGCAGTGAGAGAGGAGAAACAGAGAGAGAGAGATGTAGGAGACAGAAAGAAAGGGGAGAAAGGGAGGAGAGAGACAGGAAAGAAAGAAGAGGAGACGAACAGGAGAAGAGAAATGGAAGAGTGAGATCTAAGTGAGAGCTGAAACAGAAAGGAGAGGGAGAAAAGAGGGGGGTGAGGACAAGGGTAAAGAAAGATAACAGAGGACACAGTGAGAGCTGAAGAGGAGTGAGAGGCCGGAGAAGAGAGTGGGAGGGAAAGGGGAAATGGAGGATTGAGGAGAGGTAGGAGTGTGTGTGAGAGAGGGGAAAGAAAAGGGAGCACAGAGGGATGGAAAGTGAGGAGTGAGGTGAAAACATGAGAGTGGAAGAAAGGGGAGAGTGAGGAGTTAGAGAGGAGAGAGAAGAGGAGAGAGAGGAAGATATGAGACAAAGGAGAGAAAGTAATGGTGGGAGGGGAGGGTGGAGAGGGAGAGAGGGAAGAGAGGAGATGCATGAGAGGATGTACTTCACTTATGCCCTTCCCCTTCACTGAAGACAAACATAAAGCCCTGTGATGCTATGCTGTTTTTTCTGATGCTTGTATTGTAAGTATGAATATCATCTGATGTGGAAAGGTTATCATCAATAATAATTGAAGTTAGCATACTTCAAAGTTAGGTGACTATAATAATGTCAATCAGTTATCTGTCTTTATTGCTCATTAATTGTTATTATGTAAGTAATCCATGTACAAGGCTGTGTGTGTGTGTGTGTGTGTGTGTGTGTGTATACTGGAGTCACATTTCAACTAGCTAAGTATGAGATAATTTTCTTATTTTAAATGTGAAATAGAAGTTTGACCTCATTGAAAAACACGTATTAAACAAAACAAATATGTTACATCTTATGAAGAAAATAATTCTTAAAATAAAAAAGATGTTTCATAAAACTTTTCTTAAAGAATTATAGTCAAATAGTTTATGAATGAGAACTTAGAGGCCATTTGGATTGTTTTGAGTTTTGCTTCCTCTGACTAGATTTTCATTTTGTTTTGTTGTTGTTTTCATTTTCAGCAGATTGCAGCACTCTGACAGATCTGATGTCGTTAGAAACAAAACCCTAAGTTCCAAAGGTTTTTATGTCATTATCAACAAGATCGATTATTTATAATTCATGGACCAATAACTAACATTATTTTATGAAAACACATTTGTTATCTTTCAAAGAAAAAAGTGTTTATTTTTAAAAACTAAAATCATCGTAACGCCAAAAATGAAATGGTCAATGGAGTCACAAAGTTCCGGGCATTTCTCTGGCATTCCATTTCCCACAAACAATGATGTCATAATGTCCTTCTGAGTCTTAGGTCCTGCTGATCCACAAGAAGGAAGCCCTGAGGAGACAGTGGATTGCTAGATAAATCACATCAATTTCCCAATGGATTTTATATCGTTTATCTTTTTATTTGGGGTTTTTATCCCAAACATTAGCAATCTACAGTCCAATGTGGAACGTAAGTAAACATTTAAAATTAGTCAGTCAGAAGAAGGTTGATTCTCAATCACAGAAAGTCAGCATATGGAAGTTTTCTGCAAGATGATTGAAAGTTGAAGATGCAATATAATTTAACTTTTAAATCTCAATCTCTAATTGTGAAAAAATTTTAGTGAGAGAAAGCAGTAAAGAAAAATAACATATTCTATTCCATTCTGTGTCATGTTTTCTTTTTCAGGGAACCCTGAGGTGATGCCTTCAGATGAAGAACAGTATTATTCAGATGATGAAAATCTGGCTAATAGTGCTCCTCCTATACATGAAAATATAGATGATACTCATGTTATACATAAATCAGAAGAAAATGAAGAAGATACTCCTGCTAATGAGAAAACTGGCAATTACTATAAAGACATAAAGCAATGTAAGTGTTTTAAGTTAATAGCATATGTATGACTGATTACACTGGTTTGATTTTCCTTAATCCTGCCTTATAATCTCTCACCACCATATTATTTCCCCGTTTTGAAATTCTAATTTACTTTGTAGGCATTTCAGTGTGTAAACAAAGCCTTATTTCTTACAACATTTTTTCATGAAGTGTTATGAAATTTTATAAGGTTATCTTTTTACTATTTCTGTCTACTGTGGTTCATCCTGGCATCGTGATACTTCCTTTAGTAAAAACTGGTCTATATGATGGTAAGTCAGCCCAAACTTATTTTGAGGCATGGATCCATTTCTTAACCCTGCTGAAACAAAAATGCCACAGATTAGGAGGATAGAGACAATAGAAAACTAGTTTCCTATAGTTCTAGAGGCTGGAAGTCAAAAATCAAAGCAGAACCAATCAAGTAAGTGCTCCATCCAAAGCCAAAGACTGAGAACCCTTCCTTCCTCCCTCCCTCCCTCCCTCCCTCCCTCCCTTCCTTCCTTCCTTCCTTCCTTCCTTCCTTCCTTCCTTCCTTCCTTCGGCTCCTGGTGGCTCAGATGTGTCTTGGCTTGTGGCAGCAGTAGTTTGTGCCTCACCCTCTTCGTGTCCTTCTCATTTCTTCCCGCAGACTCCCCTTTTGTATAATAACACGAGACAGATCCATCTAGGAGCACACCCTACTCCAATCTGGTTTTAACTGAATTATAAGCTCAGCAACCCTGTCTCTAATCCTGTCTCATTTTCTGATGTACTGAGGTTAAGATTTAGTGACATTTTGCCTACAAATTGATTTAGGTATCTTATAGCCATATACATATTTTCCATGAATTTCCTTAATTGTTTCTCACAGTTATGTATCATAAGAAAATTAGTTTGACTTTTTTCCTTATGAATTTTCAGCTTGCTCCTTGCTCCCCTTCCTTTGAAAAAGTCTCATATTTTTTGTTGTCTCTAATTATTTTTTCATTAGTCAGTGGATACTTTTTAAAGTTTAAAAATTCACTATGATGAAAAAAAAATATAATGGACAAGCAGTGATTACTGGTTGCTAAAGACTTCTGACTTTCTGTTTGTAGATGTGTTCACCACACATAATCCAAATGGTACAGACTCTGAAATCGCTGTGAGTGCCACAACTGACCTGAAGTTTGTGCTGAAGAACTGTGAGTACTAAATGCACGGTCCACAGCTCCACAGGCAAATCCCTTAGGGCGGGATTCCAGAACAGACCAGGGACATGGGTGAGGCCTATGGTTCTCCTCTAGAGTCCATCTTGTGCTTCTAGGCACCAACAGAGTTATGTCATCTCCTGTTTTTGTTTTTTCTAAATTTTCTTCCACAACATTTTTTTTGTGAAGCTCTGTAAGCATTCCAGTGACCATTACAGAGGAAGCAGACAGAGTCTCTCAATTCTAACTCTGTTTTCCAGTTTGCATGGAAAGAAACACTAACTAAAGTTAGGATTCCAGGCTATTACTCATCTTTACTAAACCTGTATTTGTGGGTTTTTTTCCTCTTTTATACTTTGAATGGTGTGAAATAGCAAAAAGTGATTCTTTCTGGCTATGGCAATTTTGATACTGGGACAGGCTCATTAATGCTTCATTATTAATCAATTTACTTGACAGTAATGGAGAATATGGGCAATTCCAAGCTCTGTGCCAGTCACACTTTTAGAACAAACTTAGTTAAACTACCAAGGGCATCTTGCTTGTGTAGAGCAAGCATCTTGAGTTGTGTGGGGAAAGTTACAGTTAGCTGACTCTAAAGCACCCCAGACACGTCAAATTTCCAAAAAAAAAAAAAAAAAAAAAGAATTACTGAAAACCATAGTACCCAAGGAAGAGATTCCAAAACCATAGATTCCAACCCTATAACTAGAAGATTGTCAACAAAATTGGAATGAATAAAACCTGTGCCTTCTACATGTGGGCGTTGTAGGAACGTTCCACAAGAGCTAGCCTATCAAGTAAACAGTGAGCCCCAGGATAGTTCTTTCACTAATGATAAATTGCTTCAGTATAGTCTCTAATGCTCCATGGAGAGTGGGGTAAATTGAGGCACCTGGATGTTCTTAGTAGGAATAAATGGTTGCATTGTAGCTTGGACTTTTCACCTGTTTTGAGTTCTGTCTGAATATTTATTTTCTACCCTTTCTTATTAACAGGATACCTGTGATGGATTTGTAGGCTCTGTGGATTTATTCCGCCACTCCGCAGAAATTCCCCTTTAGTGGGGTAGTGTCCCATATGGAACTTATGCTATTAACTGATACAGCTGAAACACTCAGTGATGTGACCGCATCGACACATTGTAGGCTGAGATTTATACTAAGGCCTGTGTAGGGAGCCTGCCGAAGCCAGCCATCTTAGCAAATAGCTCATCATTACCTCTAAAGGCCTGAGTTCCAAGCTTTTCTTCTCTTTCACAGAGCACAGACATGTTAGCCCTATTTCAGGCACCCCATAATCACAAAAACACTATTCTCCATTGCCTTCCTTCCTTCTCTTCATTTCTCTTTCCTCTCCTCTCTCCTTGTCTTTGTTCCATTTGTAGTCTTAAAATATGGAAACCCCAGACATTTGGTCAATGTTTTAATATGTTGAAAATACTTTATCTCTTTTCCTAGATAAACTCGTCAGTGCAACTACAGCTAAAACATCTGCCAGCGAAGAAGCAAAACCTTATGAATCCTTGCGTAAAGATTTTCCAAGTATTAAAACTACTACACTGTATTGATATCTGGAGCATATTACTCTATAACTTAGGCAATGAGCTCACTGGTCTGAACATGACATAAGTGAATAGCATGCCTAAAGAATCCATACCACTATCATTTAGAGCCATCCTGGAGTCTTTAAGTGGCAAATATGTAAGAGTCCATTTTCAGAGGTACCTGACATGCTATAGGAACTGAACTTTTAAATATTTAATTAAACATATAAATGTATTTTATATATAATATATATAATACATTTATAAATGTTTAGATCTATCTAGGACAAATATATAGAGTATATTTTAATATTTTTGATGACATTGTAAAATTTTCTACTTGATTAAAGAATAAATGTATCTCAAGTCACAACAATTAATGTTTCCTAGGATTATTTGAGGGAGGGTCTTAAGAGTGGGAGGCTACATATTCAAAATCACCATTTTATTTTCTTGCCAAGATCATTGTTCCTTATAAAGTATTTGTGAAGCCATAACAATCCAGGATAACTCTCCTAAAGTTTTTGAGTGAGCACATAATTGTAGACAATAGATTCTCACCTGTTACCCATGTCATCTCTTTTGAACAGCATCAACCCCCAATGTGCCTGCATTTTGGACAATGTTAGCAAAAGGTAAATTCATGCAGTTAGGTAACTGGGAAAATGTTTCTAACATTTCTATTTATATTAATTATCTGACATTTTATATAAGAAAGACAAGACTGGTCTAAATATTTCCAACAATAATTAATAAGTTCATGTTTGTTGCCCCTTGTAACAGCAAATGTAATATGCAGAGAAATGATAAAGCCGCAGTTTCCAATTCTTTTGCATCCAGAAGTATATCCTCCGACAAATAGTCTTAAAATCACAGAGGACACCTGCTGGTATAGGGGAGTTGGTTTTTTTGTGTTGTAATTATCACAGTCTTCCTGTTTTATAGCTTTGACTTGAGAAACAGATGAGCCCAGATAAAAAAACTTTCAACTAAGTGCATGATTCAGCATTTTAAGCAAAGTTTTTGCCCAGTATGGTCCCTCCATGTTTGGGGCAGCATGTGTATAAACACACAGAGATGCACATCTAAGTGATGCACATATAAGTGCAAAGTACCAGTATATATTTGTGCATGAAAGTAATGTGTATAGCATGAATACACAAGTGTACATGCACAACACAATAAATAGATCAATCTATGCATCCATATAGTTTATGCAGATACAGACATATGTATTAAGATATGTAATGAATTTGTCATATACATATACATTATAAAAATGAAATATATATCATTCACTCAACCATTATTATTTGCATATTGTGTATTTACATTCAGTATTACCTACTCGAGATTAAGATCTCTGTTAACCTAAAATCAATATTTATAGAACCTTCCAGATCATTTGTCGATACAATTTTAAATATTTTCAGTTGCCTGACAGTCATACCTTGAACTGGCCTCTGTGGTGATATTGTGTTCCCCAATATATTGTGCTTCCTAGTAAACTTATCTGGGGTCAGAGAACAGAACAGCCACTAGATATAGAGGCCAGAAAATGGTGGCACACACGTCTTTAATCCTAGCATTTCAGAGGCAGAGATCCGTGTGGATCTCTGTGAGTTCAAAGCCACACTGGAAACAGCCAGGCGTGGTAACAAGAGCCTTTAATCCCAGGAAGTCATGGCAGGAAGCAAAAAGGTATTTAAGGCATGAGGACAAGGAAATAGGCCTGGTTAAGCTTTTAGGCTTTTGAGCAGCCCAGTTCAGCTGAGATTCATTCTGGATGAGAACTCAGAGGCTTCCAGTCTGAGGAAACAGGATCAGCTGAGGAATTGGCAAGGTGAGGTGGCTGTGGCTTGTTCTGCTTCTCTGATCTTTCAGCGTTCACCCCAATACCTGGCCCTGGGTTTGTTTTTATTAATAAGGACTTTTAAGATTCATGCTACAGGCCTCTAAGCATAGTGTTAGTTTGTTAATGCCCCTAAATACTATAATGGACCCTATGGGAAATACACATGTATCAGATAAGCTCTTTGGAACCTGAGTTGTAGAGATGTTCCCTTTACAAAACAATACTACAATGAACAATAAAAACAGACTTCACATAATATACACACACCTTTACACACATGTAAAAATTTTAGTAAGTGAATCTTACTTACAACATCAACATATTGTTTTAACAGCTATAAGTGGATCAGCAGGGAACATGGGTGATAAAGATCAATTCTTTCAACCAATTCCAGGTAAGAACAAAGTACTTCAATTAATAGATACATTAATATCACCCGAATTTTAGTGACTGCATTGTGAAACAATTTCTCATAGAAAAAGGGTAATGAGTATATGTGGGAAAGTGTAATGATGGTTAATGCCATATCAAAGAGGACATTGATTACATTGACAAATTATGCTTCTCAAATACTCTTGTTGCTCTTTTACCAATGACTATTATCATCCCCTCTGCCTTGTGATTCACAATGTTGAAACAGATTAAGACAGGTAAGTGAATAATACATATAATGTATATAGTCTTTTAAAAGTAGGCTTTACTTTAAGGTTTTAAATTTAAAGAAAACAATAGCAAAAAGTACGAAGTTCTCTTACCCCACCCTTCTTTGGTTTCTACTTTTTTGATGTTAAGATTGTGTGTGTGTGTGTGTGTGTGTGTGTGTGTGTGTGTGTGTGTGTGTACCACATATGTGCAGGTACTTGTGGAAGCAAGAAGAGGGTGTCAGATCCCCTGGAACTGGAGTTACATGTGGTTGTGAGCCTTCTGACTTGGGTACCAATGGAAAGTCATATTAAAAGGCGGTGTTTTAATTTTTCTCACACCATTTGTCCTACAAGTAAATAATTGTAAAATAGATATATTTGATGGCATATCTGTCTGCTCAGTTCTGTAATGAATTATTTGACAAATGTATCCCTTGCCTTGAGCTGCTATAAGAAAATGGAATGAGTCTTATTTATATTCAGGAATGGCAGTGGTGAGTCACCTTAGATAAAGGTTGTCATCTCTCTACTTAGCATTTAAGTGACTGAACTTGGAGTTGACTGGTTTCCTACCATTTATTGAGGACATACTATAAAGCATGTATTCTGATGTTTTAGCCAAATTATGCCAGTTCTCCCAACAAGTCTATTTTATGAAGAACTTGAGGCATAAAGCAAAAGCCAGCCCAAACCTGCAGTTAACTTCCTGTAACTTCTAGTGTTTATACATTGTAAAGCCTCCTCTGGTTCTGACCTTGACTTTGATAAATGTGCTATGTTAGGAAGAGTAAGGGATTTGTAGAAAAAGGAGATTGAGGCAAACTATCTGTCAGATATCCTTTGTTAGGAGAGTCCTAGGCAGCCATGAGGAAACCCTGAAGTGAAAAGCAATTAGGAGAGATAGCATCATGGCCCATCAGTAGGTAGCCATGATAAAGCCTTGAAAGGACATAGATCCTTCAGTTCCTGGAATATCAAGAGAGATACAACATCATGGCCATAGGCAGCTATGAGGATCTTTAGAAGGGCTAGACTGTCTAGTTCTATCAGCTTCCTTCAGATCCAGAGTGTCTGACTATTACAGGTTTAGGGCCGAGTAGAAGATAAATTTCCATACCATCGACTTAGTGTGACCTACCTATGTGGCTCCTGGCATAGAGAAAGGCTCTAGACAAGAGAATAAAGCTACAGTATAAGGTTGTCTTGGGCCTAGCTGTCAGAGAAGAGAGAAGGGTCGGGAGAGAACTCAGTGAGAGCTATAAGGTCATAGCAGTTCTCTGTAATTCTCTCCTCCCCTCTCTCTGTCCCTCCCCTCCCTCTCTCTCCCTTCCTCCCTCTTCTCTCTCTCAGACAGGGAATGTGGCTTGCTTTCTGGGAGACAAAACAGCAGCTAGAGGTTCTATGAGTTAACCCCAAGAACGCACCCATTCATTCATTCATTCATTTGTTTATTTATTTTGTTTTTTTCGAGACAGGGTTTCTCTGTGTATCTTTGGAGCCTGTCCTGGAACTCACTCTGTAGCCCAGGCTGGCCTTGAACTCACAGAGATCTGCCTGCCTCTGCCTCCCAAGTGCTGGGATTAAAGGCATGTGCCACCACCGCCCAGCAACATACCCATTTATAAAGACTATTGGGAGGCAAGTTTCAGAATGACCAGAGCTACACAATGACATCCTGTCTCAAAAAAGAAAGAAGGAAGGAAGGAAGGAGGGAGGGAGGGAGGGAGGGAGGGGGAGAGAGAGAGAGAGAGG